TAAAAATACAAAAAAATTAGCCATGAGTGGTGGTGTGCACCTGTAATCCCAGCTACTCGGGAGCCTGAGTCAGAAGAATCGTTTGAACTAGGAGGCAGAGGTTGCAGTGAGCCAAGATCATGGCATTGCACTCCAGCCTGGGCAACGAGTGAAACTCCATCTCAAAAAAAAAAGAAAAAAAAAAAAGATAAAAATGTGAAGGAGAGCTACAGCAGATGAGGATGTGGCATTTGGGCTTTCCACATATCATCTATTGCCAACACAACAACTCATTTAAAGGATCGACAAATGGGGGTTGGAGGATTATAAGAAGAAAATAAAACCTATGGGGATTTAAGGATAAGACAGAATTACATAAAAATTGGAAACAAACTAGAAAAAGAAATATTTGCAACTGATATAAAAGGTTGGTTAACGATTACACAAAGAGCTTCCAAGTCTGCAACCTCTGCCTCTTGGGCTCAAGCTATTCTCCTGCCGCAGCCTCCCGAGTAGCTGGGATTACAGGCGCCTGCCACCACACCCGGCTGATTTTTGTATTTTTAGTAGAGATGGGGTTTCACCATGTTGGCCAGGCTGGTCTCAAACTCCTGACCTCAGGTGATCCGCCTGCCTCGGCCTCCCATTGTGCTGGGATTATAGGCACAAGCCACTGCCCCTAGCCTCTTTTTTTTTTGAGACAGGTCTTGCTCTTTTGCCCAAGCTGGAATGCAATGGCATGTTCTCAGCTCACTGTAACCTTTGCCTCCTGGACTAAAGCAGTTCTCCCACCCTGGCTAATTTTTGTTTTGGTAGAGATGGGGTTTCATCATGTTGCCCAGGCTGGTCTTGAACTCCTGGGCTCAAGTCATCTGCCTGCCTTGACCTGCCAAAGTGCTGGGATTACAGGTATGAGCCACTATACTAGGCCTCTTTTTTTTCTTGTATGCTATAAATTTTGCAAAATGACAGTGGTTTATTTTTATAGTAAATGTTGGGGAAAGATCCTAACATCAAAATGGCTTAAGTTATAAAGGTTTAAATGTCAACTTCTTACCATTTATGTTGCTTTCACAGCTGGAGTTTTTTTGGACCTTAACTTGAAATATAAGACAATCAAAGCAATGCTTCCATATGTGGCCAGTACACACTGAGAAAGAAAGAAAAAAGTAAACAAGACTTGTTGCATCTATATTATTTTAAAATATAACTGCTTAAAGTTATCATTAATACTTACATTCCTTCTACCTGTGAGAGTATAAGAGTTGAAATATTTTTTAATACCAGTGAACTGGTATTGCGCATCATTTTCTGGACCTGCCATGATTTCAATCTTTTAAAAAAAGAAAGAAAGCAACAATAAATTGGTTTGGATGTAATTTAAAAGTAAATAAATTTTGTCTTGTTTTAGTCTAAAAACTCAAGGTCACTGCATATAAATACTGTAAATATTTATCTATATCTCACCCAACACAGCAGTAGCAAAGATGGTGGAAAAAGCCTTCCTGATAAGCTTTTGGAAGTAGGATTTTACCTTGATTGCTATTTCATGAACACCTCAGAATACATAAAATCACTCAGCATAAGAGGAGAACACAATAGCCCCTGCTAAGTTCATTCTCTGACCCAATACAAATTAATGTTTTCATTCCTGGCTCCATCACACCACAGTACGTTGAATTAATCCATTTTAAGGCTACTCGAAAATTGGAGCTGCTATTTTTCAAACGTTCTCCACGGGTGATCATCAACAGCTCAACTACAAGCCCTACTTTTACAATTTTTCTTGTTATAAGTAATTTAGGACCTCCATGGGACGGGAGAAGGGATCACTTACTAAATGGAGTTGATAATAGCTACTGGTGGTAGTAAGGAAGCTGGAATCCTTGCACCACCACCAAAATAGATAAAAGATTTAAATGTAAATAGTGAAACCAGAAAGTCCTGGAAGAAAACATGGGGAAATATTTAAGTCATCTCAGGTAAGGGAAAATATTAAGAAAAAAAAGCCAAAAGCAAAAAGACAAAACATAAAAGGATAACCAACCTATTAGTCAAAGAAATGTCAAATGAGACCAATATTTAATCAAATGAGCAAAGATAAAATTATGGTAAGTAGTAGTATTAAGTACATGAGAAAACAATAATTCTCTCTCTGTTGCTTGGAGTACAAACTGGTACAACTGGCCGGGCGCAGTGGCTCACGCCTGTAATCCCAGCACTTTGGGAGGCCGAGGCGGGCAGATCATGAGATCAGGAGATCGAGACCATCCTGGCTAACACGGTGTAACCCCATCTCTACTAAAAATACAAAAAATTAACCGGGCGTGGTGGCAGGCACCGCTAGTCCTGGCTACTCGGGAGGCTGAGGCAGGAGAATGGTGTGAACCCGGGAGGCAAAGGTTGCAGTGAGCTGAGATCGCGCCACTGCACTTCAGCCTGGGCGACAGAGCGAGACTCCGTCTCAAAAAAATAAACAAACAAAAAAATAAACTGGTACAACCTTCAGAAAGTCCAATTTGGCAGTATCTATCGAATTATAAAATGAGTGTACCCTTCCATCTAGCTGCTTTTTTTCTCCAGGAATTTCAATATTACCCTTATTGAAATATTACAAAGTGGAAACACATTGTGTGGTTCAAAGATGGTCAATGAAATATTGTTTATGAAAATCTTAAAAGTCTATTTATAGAAGACTCATTAAAAAATGGTTTCCATTAAACGACACAAAATATTCACAGATCTTTGTGTACCGACATGGGAAGATGTCCCAAGTAACATTAAATGTTGTAAGAAAAATCTTATTTCTGGATTTTATAAAGCACGTCAATGGTTCTCTGATTCTTGTCCCTAGACCAGCAGCATTAGCATCACTGGAAACTTGTTAGTGCACATTCTTAGGCCCTACCTATTGAATCAGAAACTCTGGGCCCAGGAATCTATTTTAATAAGGCTTCTAGATAATCCTGAAGCATGCTAAAGTTTGAAAAATACTGCAGTAAATGAAATAGAAAAACAAATAGTGTATTAAAAAAACTCTGGAAGAATATATAGCAAAGGCGGCTTAATCTATAGTACCTGTGTATTTTACAAAGGCATGAATTTCTTTTATAGACAAGATATATTCGAAAGGTCACCAGAACAAGAGCTGAAAATTCGTATGCATGACCGCCTATCTACCACGACCGACGCCACGCCGAGTCGATTGGCAACACAGACGAGCCGGTCGAGGTCCGGTCGAGATTGGTAGGCAGTGACAGTGACTCAGCTGGGTCTTGATGAAATGGAAGAGGGAGATATCTGTGAGGGAGTCATTGCTATGGAAACTGGAACTCCCCCATTCAAAGGCTTTCAGAGGCATTCTTGTGTAAAGAATTGGCAATGAAAATTTGAGAAAAATGACCTTAATTTTCAAGTTTCAAGAAGGTTCTTGGAGCAATGAAGGAAATCCAAACTTCCTTAGGCCTCTTCAGAGACCTTGGCCAGTCTAGCCCAAGTTAGGAAAATCTCCATTAAAAGTAACTTTATACACTTGATCTTAGCCAACAGAAGCGATAAAAGCAACTTTGTAATGTAGCTATCAACTGTTTCACTTTACTAAACTTACTAAAGACATACTCC